CCAACCAGGCTGCCGGATGCACCCAGCTGATGTTTGGTTGACTGTTCAGACCCCTTAGCCAAGCTTAGCTAGTGCAGTGCAGGGAGAGCGCCCTTAGCCAGTCTTACTGGAAACGCAGGGATCGGTCGTTCTTCCTGGCCAGGCTAGCCGAAGCAACAGGTCTAAATCGTGTCACCTCCCCTTCGGCCCTTCACCAACTCGCGCTGCTCCCCGCCGCCGCCGGTGCGGCTGCGCGGGCTCGCACCGCCCTCCGCTCCCTGCCATCACCTTCTCTCTGCCGCTCAACCCTTCGACCTCACCGTGCTTCCCCGTCCGTCTCTGGACCCGCTTACGTCCCCTTCGACCTCGCGCGGCTGGGGGCTCGTGCAGCGCGGCCGCGAGCTTGTGCGGCAAGGCCGGCGGAGAAATCGTGCGGCCGCGGGCTCCTTCGTAGCAAATCGGCGGCGGCTGCACGCCTCCTTCCGTGCCTGCATGCGAATCCGCGAATCGGGCTCCTCTTGCACGCGAATCGGGCTCCTCCTGCACGTGAATCGGTGGTGGACTTTCCGCGCCTGCACGAGCGCGAGGAGGCGCTCTACTTTCACGACACCTTCGCCATGAGCGAGAAAGTGTGACCATGAGCTCTTGCGGCAAGGCAAATCGAAGGAGGTCGCCGCGAATCTGTTGAATTTGGCTGTGCAATGCGAGCTCGTGCGGGATCTCCATACGAGTCACCGGCGGCCGCATCTGGTCGTCGTCCTTCGCTATCCTTAGTTTCTTTGTAAGAGTAGTACAGTACACCGCAAAAACACACACAGAGAAAAGAAGCGAGTTATTAGTGACGGTGCTACAGGGAATAAGTTGACCAGGTGACCAAAGTGAAAGACAGAACTGACCGAGTCACTTAGGCCAGTGACGAGTTTCACGGCGTTATTTTCCTAGAATGAAATGGAATGGATGAAATAACCACTCTTAATAGAAAAGTTTTATCCTATAGTTTCATAAACAATTATTTTTTTGACTCATAAAGAGTTGTTAATTGTGTCAAGAGAATTTCATTCACATGAAACTTACTTCTTCTCTCTCGTTTTAAAAATGTTGCATACATCGTCAAAAACACTTATGTGACAGCTTATTAAATACAAATAAAACTCCGATAAAAATGGCCTTATAAATGGATCGGATACAGACGGATGTCGCTGATTTGCTGTTATATTTCTATTCGGATTCGAACACAGATACTATCAACTACTAGTATATTGCTCATGCTAACGCTACGGAACACATTAAATAACTTTTCCATATATGCACAAATTCTGACTATGAAAGGAAAATATATGAGATCAACTTTTGCAGATTCAAGTAGACCACATCAAGTGTATCATCATCTCTTCAGAAACGGTATCAACAAACATGCCCATCAATAATCCATAGTCTAGGAAGCATAAAATGAATCCGCAAAGGTAAAAGAGAAAGGGTATCAACAAACATGGCTGCTAATATTTTGAAACGCATTGATCAATGCAACTGTTCTCACCCATATTGAGCTCAATTTCTTTATACCTAGGATAAAATGAATCCACGGAAAAAAAATCATAGTCCAATCTCATAGAGGATAAATCCTTCTTGACTATCAATTAACATGGCACGAGAAGTTCCAAACTTAAGGTGTAATGTATTGCAACTTAGTTAAATTATTTGGTGATTATCCATATATAACATCATAGAACGTTAAGTGTTACATAGAATAAGCTGATCATATATGTACCTTTTCTCAATGCACTTGTCGAAACAGGTTTGTGTAAACCTATATAAAGCATAAAGACACTGTGAGAACAAGCATAAATAAATCAATCAGAGCCCTAAATGAACTCAAAAGTATTACGATTGCTTAAAATTTCAAAGTTGCATCACATATCAAATATGTGTAGCATCTCTAGGGAAAAAACTACAGTAATCCATGGCTAAATTGCTTCATGATCCGTGGCCCCTCTAATTCATTAATGGCCCCTTTAGGATGTTGTTGAAGTCCACTTTATGCATTGGGTCATGAAATGGCCTACGCTCGGACTATATAGAATGTCGGGCAAATGGTTTGCGAGCGTATCTTTTTTTTCTTCCAAATATATATCATATTGAAGGGCGGGCCGGTGCAAGCGAAGAGTCTTACTTTGTGACCGGAAGGTCCATGAATCGCGATCTCCTCGCATTGCACATAAGGCTTGCGACCGACACCCCACCCGCGGATAGCGGGAGCTCTCTCGGGACCGCGTAAGCCCAAACATATATCATATTGTATCTTTGCCGATGGTGCTATACGACAAGAAAGGTGAGAAGAGAAAGCTCACCATTCTCGAGCTTCATGCAAATAATGAAATAAGCAGCTCCTCTAATATGCATATAGCCGAGAGAGTCGTGAAAGGCATATGAAAGAGAGTAAAGCGCTCAACGACCTTTTGACCGTGAAGAGAGTAAAACCGTTTTTCACAAAAGCAGCTGGGTTCTAATATGAATTACATCTCAACTTTTGAGGCTTCAACACAAGTGAACATTGGAATTAAAATACAAAGAAAATGACCTTAATTGTATTGGAATTAAAATACTGCTATAACAACCCCGTCTACCGATCATCTATGTTGTACAAAAGCAACAACAAGTACCTCATATTGCAAAAACAAAGATTCGCACTCAATCAGATAGTTCCTAGCAAAGTATAATAGATTCTCCAACACAACAAAGGATCATCCATCTCTAATCTCTAGGTTTAACTAAAGGTTACTATTGAGAAAACAGGGGAACAAGTAGCAACCAAAATAGAGGAGAAACTAATACCTAAAATCAGTAGATGGGTCTTTCCCTTGCCAACCCATCTCCTTCCATTGTTTTGATATTAGTCCACTCAAGCTCTGTTCGAATGCGGATTTGACGATCAGCCGTCGGCCTTTTTCTCATCAACCGCCCTATTCCGACACCGACACTGCACACATCACATGGCGTGTAGGATTTCAATTCAAAAAAAGCCCCATCCCCGTGGAGAAAGGGCGTGATTCGCGAAGCGCACGCGGAGGAGGAAGAAGAGGATCGGAAATCCTATTGATTGAGTCGAGATGCGGCGGCGGTGCCTTCGGATCAGAGCCACAGGATGAGCGAAGGAGCGCCCCGACCACGGAGCCCGCTCAACCCTAGCCCGGCGGTGGAGCCCCGATGGCTGGCGCCCGGCACCACAGCGACTTGTCCTCTCCTCAAACGGCGCCATGAAGCCGCGGCAAGGCGGCGTCGGCGGCCACGCCACCTTTCCCCGCACCCCGCCGCCCGCGGTGAGAAGGAATGACGACGTCGCTGGGATGATGGGTGGTGGATCGTCTTCCGGGGCGTCTCCCGGACACGCTCCGGCCCACGGGCCCGAAAGCGCGCATCCCACCGGAGCTGCACTCCTTTTCCCTGCCGCCATCGCATTGCCGATCTAGAAGAGAGAGGGGTGATGGGGAGAAGAGGATCGGCACCGTGAGGGAGGGAGAGATTCGAAATCGGTCCTTCTCGTGCGTTTCCTTCTGGGAGGAGTCCACGGGAGGGCGATGGAGGGCAGACACACTAAACATGAGCCGTCGGATTTGGATGAGTAATGAGAGAGAATGGCTAAGAGATAATCTGGTGTATCCGTTTTGACGGTGTTATATTTTCTGGGTGCATTCATGGGTGTGGATGTAGCATAGGTCATGACTGTGGAGCAGACATTTGTTGTGTGGCTGTAGATTTATTCTAACTAGTGTATTATAGGGGTTAGATTAGATAGATTAGATAGATGTCAAATGGATATGAATGGATATGCCGACGGAGCCAGCCGCGGATAGGGCCGTGGGAGCCGAAGCAAGCCCAATCGGCTCTGGGTGAGGACCTTTGTTGGCCTGGTCCAGGCTGCAGGCCGCCGGTATGTGCGCACGCATCCGTGGGCCGTTGCTGGGCTGGATGGCCGTTTGTTGACTCGTGGCGTCGCTCGTGGTGTTTAGCTGCTAGCTTCCATCCCCGTTACCGTCGTGGGGCAACTCACCGTACGTTGACCTGTTCGCGGTGCTTCAGTTGGAAAACGCCATAGCAAATTCACAAATAAAGTTAAGGGCTGTTTGGAACGTGAGAAATATTTCCTTGGAAAACGCCATAGCAAATTCACAAATAAAGTTAAGGGCATGTTTGGAACGTGAGAAATATTTACTGTTTCTGTGTTTTTTCTGTGAAATTGAACTGATTCTTGTGAAATTCCCGCGCGAGTCCTACGAAATTCCTGCGTTCCAAACATGCCCTAAAATCCTTCCCCATGTTTGGCTTGATACAGTGAAGGCTTTGCGGTTGAATGAACGGGATCTTAGCCCTGCATCCGTCCTCTGTAAAGAAGCTAGGGAGCTAATTTCGTTTTGCTTTGATTCAGTTTAAGTTTTCCATATTCCTAGAATGTGTAATAGGAGTGCTCACGAACTCGCGCGTCTAAGTCTTGATTTGGACCCGGATCAACCATCAGCCTGTTTGGTTGGCTGGTTCGTTTCGTTGCTGGCTGGTTTGCGTGAGAGAAAAATACTGTTCCGGCTGAAAATTTACGATCGTTTACGACAAACCACAGCCAAACGAACAGGCTGTGTTTGGCTTGATCCCCTCCCTAGTATCTGATATTTTGGTTTGCGAATTGACTGTACCTCTTCTCTTCTGAATGAATAAATAGACTGTGCATGTTTGCTTCAAAAAATTCACAGAGGTCAAAAGACAGTGATAAAACCATAATTTCTTTATCTTTTTGTGAAAATAAAAAACCCACAATTTTGATACAACACAGGGATATAAATGGAAGACCCGTTTATATTTCTCGAATGATGAGACACAAACTAAATCATTTGACGAGTAGAGGCTCCGCCGTTCTCCCATTTCTTCTCCACCGCCGTACTCACATCGAGATCCTCTTGGGGCCCGGGAAGGTGTGCCGCTCCTGGCGGCACGCCGCGCGCGATGAACGCGCGCTGTGGCGCCACATTAACATGCTCGGACACCCGGACCTCGACCGCCGGGTGAATCTCTACGGGATGGCGCAGGCCGCCATCCACCGCGCCAAGGGGCAGTGCGAGGCATTCTGGGCCGAGTACGAGGCCGATGACGATGTGCTCCATCTTCTCGGCGATGAGTGAGATTTCGACCCCGCTCCAAATTCTATCTTAGAAATTTTGTTTCGTGCTAATTGGTTCGGTTAAACTTGTGGTAATGTATGCCCCTGTGCTTGATTTGGCCTACCAAGTGATGTTTGAATATATCAGAGCTGTACCTTTCGGTATGCGGTTGTAGTAATCGATATTAAGCTGCAACCACAATTCATCCACTTCTGGTCATGAACGGTTCGAATAATCAATATTAAGCTGCACCCACGATTCATCTGCTTCTCGTCATGAACTGTACTTTTAGGTAAAGCTACAGATTCATTACTAGGTCGTGACAGCTAAAGATATAGTTGACACTATAGACGATGTGCAATGCTCTTGCTGTAGGGAGTTTTAGCATCCCATTTCTGTGTTGTAGCATGGAATGTTTTCTGTCAGAATTTTAGTCTAATACTGACTATAATTTCTTTATATAGTATTGGATAAGAGGAACGTTATGTCTTAGTTTACTTGTATGGATGATATAAAGTGCCGTCTTCTGCAAAGCATGGAGCATTGGACCGCAATCCATATCATACTGTATTCTTACATCATTGCATTGATATTTTAGTGATACGTTGCTGATTGTGAATGAAATGTATCTAATGGGCGACTTTGGATATCTTCATGTTTAGTGTTTTATATACTCCATTGGATGTTCCCCAGCCCAACATTTAACTAACCTCAGATCAACTGTAACTTTCAAAAATTATGTGCTATCCTTACAATTAATGAAGAAACTTATGGTGTTATCATCTTATATGTGGAATGGTCTGAGGTTTCCTGAAGGTGATCTTTGGTCTAACAAATTTGTAGGTTTACCTACTATAAACTTTTTGATACAATTGAACAGTCTCCTTAATTTGAAGCGAACTGCAATTGGGTTCTAATGTTTCCGGTGATGACCATGTGAAACAAACTCAATGGGCTGGTGTAGTGGTGCTGCTATTTAACTTGTAACTGCATTTCCAGCCTAGTGTGTCCATCTACTCTTTCTCATGCCAAATATAAATGAGTCTGGTATCAGAAAACTCTTCCAAATTATGACTTGTCATTATATGTGATTATCCTCTGAAATGACTTAGCCCCTGTTTATGCTCATTTTTTAATGCTCTTTCGTATCAGGATAAGGATGGTAGCTTGTTATTGTTTTGTACATCATACCAGGGTTCAAAATTTCGGCGAAATTTCGGCCGAATTTCACGAAATTCGGTAATTTCGGTGGTGGCCGAAAGAAAACTCCGAAATTTTTTAATACACTAATACATGTGCTATATAACTCTAATCTTATATTTTTCTATTGTTTATATTACATATTCTTCTATTTAATGGATATGTAGTCATAAATCATACTAATATTTGTTTAAATCCATTTTTTCTTAGAAAAAAACATACTTCATGTGCTAATCTCTAAAAAAAATTTCGGCGAAATTTCGGCCGAATTTCGCGAAATTCGGTAATTTCGGTGGTGGCCGAAATTTTGGCAATACCGAAATTAAAAACCTTGCATCATACTTCTGCCTCTCTTTTCGAAGGCTCTGTTATTGTTTAATCTTGTACTTCACTACAGTTATCTCCAACTGCTGTTTCATTTCATAGCAAATAACCGCAACTTTATCACAACAAGAATGGGTGCTTGTTATACAGAGTTCATTGTACAGCAAAGGTGTATTTATTGGTTAGTGGTTACTAATGAACAAATACTACCTTTGCAGGGCACCGGCTCTAAAGAGTCTCCGCCTCATTGCTTGTCAAGACATCGTTGAATTTGAGGAGATAAAGAAGTTTCCTCTGCTTGAGGAGCTCGAGATTTCACTCTTTACAAATATAGGTGGGAAGCATGTGTTTGAGGAGGTTGGCAAAGCATGCCCGGAGCTGAAGCATTTCAGATTTAACAAGTACCGTTTCCACAACTTTGGATACATTGAGTACTCTGAGGATGATTGTAGTGAGTTAAAGTACAACAAGGATGGTGATGCCCTGGGGATTGCAAATATGCATGGGCTGCTTTCTCTGCAGCTCTTTGGCAATGACTTCACCAATGAAGGACTGACAGCCATCCTTGACAATTGCCCCCACCTGGAGTTCCTCGACATCCATCACTGCTTCAACATCCAGATGGACGATGCCCTACGGGCAAAATGTGCTGCAATCAAGACTCTGAAGCTTCCCTATGATTCAACTGATGACTATAATTTACAGTTTGAGGGACCAATCTGGTCACCTTCCGGGCTTGGTATTGACTTTGACACCGACAGTGATGGTTGTGACTATATTCTGGACTCAGACGATTATGATGATTACTGTGATCCGATGCGCTACCTTGACGGTGTCTATGAGTCCGAGCTTGGCCCAGAAGATCGGATGTTCCTCAAGGGTATGCGCATGCTAATGAGAGATGATGACGATGATGATTACTGAGTTATTGTGGTCCTTACCACCGCAACCTTTGATGGCGTCTATGTGGATTCCTTGAAGATCTGATGTTCTTCGTTGGACCTCACATGTTCCTGAAATAAATGTGACATGGGTATTGCTGGCGCTTGGGATCTCAAACCTTTTTGCTGTAACATTGCTTGGCAACTTTATCACTGATGTGACTGGTATTTGTTTCTTTTCTGTGTGTTCATTGAGTAATAATGTGAACTTATAGAGCTGACAATTGTTTTTTCAGTGCTTCACCTGAGATGTTTCTTCCACAGTTGGAATTGCCAATGTTTGCATTACTGTAGATCTGCCATGTGTGGCTGGGCGAGGAACTGGTGTCCAACGATATATCATGGCTACATTTGCTACCGTTCAAGAAACAATGGTATATTAAAAAAGTACAATGCATGTATAATTGAAAATCCTATATGTTGGCATGAATCATTTAATCGACCGGTCCAACACCTTCATAGAACCAGCCCTACAGTTTGTACCGCTAGTATAACTTAGGACTTTTCGGTACAACTCAGCTTCACGAGTGAATCCGTTTTCGTTAGCTTTGGCTATAAAAACAGCTTTACTGGCAAAGCTGGATCTGTTTTTATAAATATTTGGTAAAACAGCTTGAAAATAGTGGAGAGAACTAGAAAAAGCTATTATTCTCAGCTTCACTTGGGAAACTGTGCCTATGAGCGGAGCGGAAAAACAACTTTTAGGCAGAAGTTGTCCGATCAGGACTACGAGAAACTGAAAACGGCTCGGTGAACCTGGGGCATAAGCCTTACTGAACAGTCCGTTATATAAGCTGTTTTACGGTGCAAGGTTACTAGGTTAGCATGGTAAATACCACCCCAGATCATACAGCCAGTTTGTTTGGCTGGACTTGTTCGTGAAGATTACTTGGCTGGTTTGGTGTGAGAGAAAAATACTCTTCCAACTGAAAATTTACGATCGTTTACGACAAGAACAAGCCAACCGAACAGGCTGATGACAAATACCTTCGGCCATTAATTTCAACATTTTTGAAATCTAAGGTGGAGTTTTACCATACTACCATTAGATTAATAAGCCAGCTTATATAACTTTTGAGGAGGGAAATAAATCTATATATGTTATAAAGCTAAGGCATCCACGACATCACGACTAAGAATATGCAGATGATTTATCTCATAACCTCAAGTACCACGTGCTGGTCTGACCTCACTAACCTCAGACAGAAGTCGTCTCTTTTTACTTTTTTATAATATATATATATAAGTAAAAAAAGTGAGAAGGAAGCCCAAACGAAGTCTCCCCTTTCTACTAGTTTTAGGGCTGCGATTCGGCGGTTGTTGCTCGTCGCGCTCGCGCACCGGCACCACCGCGGCCTCCCTCCGAGGTACGGCGAACGACAGCTGCTGTTCCTCGTCTCTACCTACCTGGAACGTCCGTGCAAAACCTAACCTTTTTCTTTCCGGGTCTTGGGTTTCTTGGCGGCGGTTGGGTGGTAGCGTCTATTAGGTGATGGGGACGCTGATTACGTGACCCTTTCTTTGCTCTTTTCCGGTTGCGGGCGTGATTCCGACATCGGGCTTGCCGGATGGGGTTTTTATCCTGTCGGATTTAGTTTTTATTCGTGGTCCTGACGGTGACGGATGGCGATTAGTCGCCTGCGCGGGTAGGCTGCTGTATTTTTGGTATGCCTGGAGTACTAGTTTATTGCTTTTATTTGGAGGCTACTACTTCCTCTGTTTTTATATAGATATATACAAAAAAATGTTTATGTCATTAATTATTAGTTCACACGGAGGGAGTACTATTTTACTTTCGATCATGGTGTTTAATCTAAGTCAAATTAGGAGATGCGGCCAAAATGGAGGAGATAGAGGGGATGAGATGAGGAAGAACAAGCCCTTTTTTGTCTTTTACGTGTTAAATATAATAACTGAATTTTAACTGAAGCGAAAGTGGAAAGCTTTTCTAGTTGAATTCCTTGAACCTGTTACAAAATGCCGAACTTTGTTGCTCAATTTTTGTTGTTGTATTTCTTTTGGGATTCCTCCTTATTAGGAAATGGATTTCTGCCTTTGTGGTTATTAATTCAGTGCATGTGTTAGTCAAGAATAAAACTACATAGGTGGCTCTCTGTACTTGTGCAAAATGGCAAACTTCGTCTGTGATTTACTCTTGCTCCAATTCCCCGTACAGCCATTTAGTGTTCGCTTGCTCGTAAACGATCGTAAATTTCCAGCCAGAACAATATTTTTCTCTCACACCAAACCAGCCAACAGTAAATAATCCACGATCGTTTACGGCCTCCCGAACAGGCTGATCGGTGCATCAATGCATCTGAGGTAACACTGAGCCTGTGGGTTGTGCAGTTGTGCTAGTGACAAGCTGCTATAGGTCTCTGTCTTTGGCAAAGGATTAACTTTGTTTTCCTGATGCATTTTTTTTCTGGATATTATTAAGGCAAAATGGGGTTTACCCGCTTTCAAGCATTCCTTGTACAATGTTGAAGTCCTGATGTTATTGAGCTAAGCGTGTCAAATTTTTTTTTTTTAAATTATAGATCGTGTGCAAGCTGCACGCTGAAGTGCATCTTGGGACATCATGGAGGAGCAACCCTCGCAGGGTACCATGGATGAAGGTGTGACGGATGGTGAAACCCCTGCAGCTTATGCTGCACCAACATGCCAACCTGCAGCATTGGCATCTGTACCATCAGTGAGTGCTGTTCTGTCTCCAGCCTTCCAGCTAGCTCCTCCAATCATCTTTCTGCAACCCTCAGATCAGCACCAAATTGCACTCCGGGGTGTCCAGCATGCCAACCTGCAGCAACAACTCCAGGCCTTCTGGTCTGACAAACTCTCCGAGATCAATCAGACAACAAAGTTCAATCTCAACGGTCTTCCCCTCAAAGGGATAAAAAAGATCATGAAGACTGATGCAGATGTTCAGAGGATCTCTGGTGATGCACCGGTTCTTTTGGCCAAGGCTTGTGAGATGTTCATCCAGGAACTAACACTGCGGGCATGGCATCACACCAAACAAAACAAGAGGAGGACATTGGAAAGGAAGGATATCTCTGTGGCATTGGCTACGACTGATGTCTTTGATTTCCTGGTGGATATCAGTCCGTTGAACAAGCTGGAGCCAGAAGGCGCAGAGTTGCCGGCTGACCCTTTACTGCCGCCGCCTCCAGAGGTTAAGGTTGATCTTAAGGGCAATGGCATGGGGTTGCTGAGGACGAATTCTGTGCAGCCTATTGTCCTGCAGGCAAATGCTGCTGCTCTGCCGCTAGCACCACCACCGACAACGAACAAGGCGATGCCAAACCTGCACCTGGAGAATTTCAAGCCTGTGCAGAACTACATGGGTTCAAGTCCTAGAACGATTGATCACAATCAGGTAAGCTTCAAGCATCACCATGTTTTTTTTGGTGAAAAGGAGATTGCATCATCGCTTCTCGAATACATCTCGTCACGTGCATTCCAGGTGGCAACCATTTTTTGAGTTTTCACTCAGAAAGTTTATTTTACACTTATGATGCCCTCATTCTTAGGTGCCACTTTGCACAATGGATGTTGACTCAAGCCCCTTACCAGCGGCAGACATGAGGGATTGGTCTGAGCTTCCATTCGATGCTCTCTCCTCAATTTTCATGAAGCTTGGGACCATTGAGATCCTAATGGTCGCTGGGTTTGTGTGCCACTCATGGTTGGCAGCTGCAAAGGCACCTGAACTTTGGCGCTTCGTGGACATGACGTGTCACAAGTTGGTTTTCTCAAAGCGTGTAGATACAATGTGTGACATGGCAAAAGTGGCTATAGATCGCTCTGAGGGACAGATGGAGTCATTTTGGGCTCAGAAGTTTGTTACTTGTGAACTCTTGGATTACATTGTGAGTAGGTATTGTTTCTTGCCTTGCTAAATTCGTCCTTGCATTTAAGAACTTGGATTAAATTGCCTATGCTGTGAGAGATTTTTTTTCACTATTTAGTAATTATCCTCACTGATCAATTTCCTTACTTGGAATATCTTCACGAGGACAAAAGAAATATATGCACTTATTTTTTTTTTCTGTACATTTCATAGTTATATATGCTGCCCATAAACCACTCAAGTAATCCCACCACACATTTTCTGTGAATTTACTGCAGTTTCTCAGAGGAACCATGTTATATTAGGCTAAGTTAACCTGCAGCTACGTGATATATAATTCAGTATGCTACTACCAGTTGAATAGGATACAGGCTTGACTAGTGACCGCATTGGCTATTTTTTAACTTATGGAAATATATATATATAAGAAAAATATGCAGTGCTGCTGAGAGATTTCTGGACAGTACTTTCACTCAGCAGACATTAAATAAAAGGGAAATGAATCATGTGTGGAGTGAGGAAATCAGGAGATATGTTATCTGTTGCTACTTGGCAAACTTGTGTTATGTACTTATGTGATTTAAATCTACAGCATACTCTATGTTGGGTAACCTCTATTGGTACAGCATGATATTGCTCAGTTTGTTTCATTTCCTAGCCATTTTTGGGCTTACCTCTGCAGGGCCAATTCATTGAAGAGCATTCGACTCATTGGGTGCACATTTATTTGGAGCGAATCGTTGGCAAGGTTGGCCGCTATGTGTCCACTTTTAGAGGAAATAGAGTGCTCACATCATAAAATGCCAGCAGAACTTTTCAGATATCTTGGTAGTGTGAGGCCGCAGCTGAAGCGTCTAAGAATCCATATGCAGTGGTTTGATCATGATCAGATGATGCATGAGTTAGGAATGGGAAATCGTCAAAATGACGAGGATGATGAGGACGAATGTGAGGAGCCAGAGGAATCTGACGAGGCTTGGGAGGCAAGGCAAAATAGGGATGCCTTTGCCATTGCAGAAAGCTTGCACGAGCTACGTCTTCTTCAGATGGCAGGCAACAGCTTGACAAACATAGGGGTCTATGCCATCCTTGAGGGGTGCCCCAACCTCGAATGCCTTGACATCTCCGCATGCTACCATGTTGATGTCAATGATGAACTCAAAGCCCGTTGCGCCAGGCTTAAGCATGTCTGGTTACCTAGTGAACGTACTTATGTTCGCTGCCCGGATCTTCGTGTCATTGGAGAGCATGAAGGAGAAGACTGTGGGCTCACAATGCACGACCTGTGGGAAGCTGAGGTTGAGTCTCTGCGTGTCGAGGCAGAGATGGACAACGATGGTTCCTATGGTGAAATGTACTGGGATGACTACTGATCAGACATGGCTCACAAGACTTTTGACTGGCTGGTGTGTGGCTCAGTACGTGCTCATAGTAGTTTGGACATGAGCACCATATTTTGTAGTATGAATATACTGGCAAGGCAAGGTTCTTTTGTGTAGCTGAATGAATGACCATCCTGCTCCTGCGTTATGTTGTAAGTTGTAACATCCAGTGCAATAGTCAGGCACGCATGGATACCCCTATAGGCACTAGGCAGTATGTGTATATGTCTGCTGAATATGTTAATGGAGATCCTTGATGCTGTGTACTATGGCATACATCCCTTAATAGATGCATGGTCCATGGTTTTGAATATTGACAGGGTCTATCAAAACTCAAAATGATTTCAATTTCTGTAGTGACCGAGTTTTTTTTCGAAGGGAGGGGACTTGTATTAAATCTTAGCACAATGCGTTCTCAAATTACATTTGAAAAAATCTGAAATAAAAAATACATAATATTCTATCTAGATTCTTCCATTGTTCTTCCACAATGGCTTTCCTCGAAAGCTGGAGTCAAAGTGCAGTCCTTGTCGAATCCAACGACCAACCCTAAAATATTGGACATGCCGTAAGATCCAACGCTCGAACCAGTCCAAAACGCATCTAAATCGCTGAAAGAATATCGACAGTTGCATCGTCGGGTACGACATAGGCTACAGATTCATCACCTTGAGATCTTGATTTCCTCTCCACAACCATCGACGATGAGATCGATGACCTAGAGTCGCTGTCCTCGTAGGGGGCTTCCACATTAAAGAGGTAGATTATAAAACTATTTACATTTAAGTTTGATCAAGTTTATAGAGAAAGATATTAACATATATCACATTAAAGAGGTAAATTATAAAACTATTTACAAATCATAATGTATCTAACAATGCTAATTTGACGTTATAATACATATTATTGTTCTTTTCTATAAAGTTTTGGTTAAATTTAGGAATGCTCAAAACTCCTTATATTTTAAGAGCATGGGAGTATATGAAAGGGCCTCTTATTTTTTGGCTGTCATGGTTTTGGGAAAATATGTGATCAATAACTTTAGTTAATAAATGTGAGATGCGCAAAGACATAGTTTAGAGAAACAAAAAGGTCTTAAATGAAGTTTCTAAAACTTGAAAAATACTATATGCTTAGCAATAATATGGTTTGCAAAAACTAAAGTATTACACAAAACTATAGTATATATTAAATAAACCAAAAAATATTTGTGCATCCTACCAAGGCCTAAGTCGCTCGATACGATGGAAGCCCTAGTAAACTTAGACTTAGTGACTCAAATTTCATATTTCAAAATAGGTTTATATTTGGAATTGCATTATTTATAAAATATGTTGACTCTCTCCGCTCTGAACAAGGGATTTGAACAATTTTAGCATTAAATGAAGAGTCTAACTAAAAAACTAATGTGTCACTAATTAGTTAGTTTGAATGTTAACTTGCTTAATTTTCTAATGTGTCATTGATTTGGGCTACCAATTATAGATGTCATTTTGCACAGTATGAGGTTTAAAAGGCAGACATGTATGGGTAATAAGGTTTAAAACACACACACACACACACACACACACACATATATATATATATATGGATGGGATTGAACAATACTGTATAGAATTATACATTGTAATTTTTAATAAAATTTTGAACATTCAGTATCTCTCTTGTACATATACAGCAAACAGAAAACAAACCGGACCCAACCGCATTCTGGGCCTGTCGGCCCATAGAATACTCGATCCACTTCGACAGAAGCAAATCGACTAGGAATCGCCTCCCTCTCCCTCTTCCTAGGTCCCTGCGGTTGCGAGGTGCGAGCCCTCGCCCGGCGAAGTTGCTCATGAACCTCAGCCACCGCCGCCGCCGGAGGCGAAGGTAACGAAATAAATGATCTCCCGTGGCTAGTTATGGTTTTCTTCGTTCGGTACCAAGATCTGAAGTTCCCTCGCCTTAGGGCCACACGCTTAGGGCTTTGGATGCACGTCTATCCACTCAAATCCACGTGGGTGGGAGTGGATTGGAATGGAACCTGTTTAATTTTACTTCAATCCACTTCAACCCATGTGTTGGAGTGGATTATAATGGAACTTAGTTTAATTCCACTCCAATCCAAACACACGTGGATTGAGATAAATACATACGTATCCAAATGGGGCCTTATTTGGATGGGAAATGTTGAAATTTCTGACCAATGAACGGATTTGACAAAACGAAGTTTTGTGCCAATTTCCGCTCGTTTATTTTATTTCTTTGTCATCGGGTAGATGGTCTAGTAGTTCAGCTCATCGTCGTCGTTGGCTTGTTGCCTTAGTTCTAGGAGGGGATGTTTTCAATTTTTTGAGACAGTTTGGTCGACACAAAGTCCTCTTATTTGGATCGATACTAGTTCGTTACGAACTTTACCTTCATTCCTGACTTGGTAATCGTTCCCCTCTTCTTTTCTCTGCAGCAGCCACCAGACATGGTCATAACTGTTTTTGGTACGAGATGTAGCGTCATCATAATTCAATTTGATCAAATCTTTGTGCTTGTTTCAATCTAAATCGTCTGATGCCCGTAGTTTTTTTTTCTTATTATGTTCTACTATGATCTGGTGTTGTGAAATAGCTTATATGTTAGATGGAACATCTTGCAAACACAGTGCTGTTTTGTGGTGGTTTCGGCATATCGACCTAGGGTTTTATCCAAACTGTCCCATGTAGTACAAATGTACAATCGATCTATTGAGATGGGGTCATGCATCCAACCATCCAAATTCGAGAACTCTTAAACTCGAATTTATGTGCATAATTTCTTCTTAATGAAAAACCGCCCAATTCATCCTATAAGTGTCTGCTTTTTTACTTTCTACAGTGCTCGTACTATTTAGTAGTTACAACTTACAACTTGCAAATCCTCTAAATTTTTTACTGATTCCAGTCTTAGGTACCAGTTTGCACAATGGATGTAGACCCAAGCCCCTTGCTAGAGTCACCTGTGAGGGATTGGTCTGAGCTCCCACTCGACCCTCTCTCCTTAATCTTCATGAAGCTTGGGGCCATTGAGGTCCTCATGGGCGCAGGCCTTGTGTGCCGCTCATGGCTGGCAGCTGCAAAGGCACCAGAAATTTGGCGTTTCGTGGACATGACTCGTCATAAGTTAGTTTTCTCGAAGGGCACAGGTACCTTGTGTGCCATGGCAAAAGTAGCCATAGATCGCTCAGATGGAAGGATCGAGTCATTCTGGGCTCAGCAGTTTGTTACCGATGAACTCTTGGAGTACATTGGAAACAGGTATTTTTCTTGCCATGCTAAATTTCAGTTCTTAATTTCTTATTAGGACAAGTTTTGGGGCTTTAGGAACTTTAACTTCGCTTCATTCCGGATTTATTTATGCAGTACTTCAATTATTTAACCCCACTAAGCAGTAGCTATACCGCTTATGACCACTAATAACAATCCTGTTATGCATACACATGATGCCTATGGATCTCTCCCATTAGTAACACGATGTCACTTCAGCCATAATTATATTTTGGGTTTCTCTTATGAATTTTGTAGTTATCCAATGCAGCCACCAATTGAACACTTGTCTGACCTGCAAACATCAATTGCGTATTTATTTCCACCAATGCCTATATGGACTTGATTTTCAGGAAAAAAATGCCTATACGGACTTTGGGTCAACCAATGCGATATTTTTATAACCTGATTGACATTATTCAATGTCAAGTTGTTGTTGTTTCACATAATCGTGGCCTGATGTAATTTTTGCTAACTTTGCTGGTACTTGGTATTTTCTCATTTGATTCGATTTCTTGTCCATTTTTGTCCCTATATCTGCAGGGCCAATTCTTTGAAGAGCATTCGGCTTGTCGCATGCGCATACTTTTGGCATATGCCATTGGTTAAGATGTTAGATAAATGTCCGCTTCTGGAGGAGATAGAATGTTCATATCAAATAATGCCAGAAGAGTTTTTCAGATATCTAGGCATTGTGTGCCCCCAGCTGAAGCGTCTAAGAATCCATATTGAGGAGTGGTATGATTCTGATGAGATCAGGCGTGAGATGGAGATGGAATGTCGCCGGCAAAACGGTGACGGAGATGAAGACGAGGAATCAGAGGAGGAAACTGCCGAAGCTTGGGAAGCGAGGAAAAATGAGGTTGCCTTTGCCATTGCAGAGAGCTTACCTGAGCTTCGGCTTCTTCAGATGGCAGGCAACAGCCTGACCAACAAAGGGTTCTATGCCATTCTCGAGGGCTGCCCCAACTCGAATGCCTTGACATCTCTGACTGCTCTAATCTCCATGTCAATGATGAACTGCGAGCTCGATGCTCTAACCTCAAACATGTCTTGTTACACAAACAGCAGAATAAGGTTTGCTGCCCCGACCTTCATGTCATCGGAGAGAAAGAGGGTGAAGACTACAGGCTCACTATGCCCTACCTTTCAGAAGACGAAGATATGTTGTACGCTGAGGGGGGGATAAGTGATGGTTCTTATTGGTAACTACTGGGAGGACTACTGAGTATTGGCGCTTCTCGTCCCCCTGATGAGCACTCCTGTCCTGATTTGAGCAAAGTGACCTGTGACGACACAAGATTCTACAATGACATACATGAGTACTATTCTCTGTGATCATCTCAATGTCCTGTTTGAACCGTTGTGGGTTGTGCTATAAGTTGTTTATGTCACTGTCATGGTGTATGCTCTAAGTTGGTTAAGCCTACATCATAGTGTTTTGGATATTTTGTGTTTACATCTGAGTTTATATTATTGACACCTTTGGAAAAGCCGGATTCTTGGTTCCTGTGGAAGTTGAACTTTATTCATATATTGTGTTAGAGTCACAGGTAATCTTTTGAACTTTATTCATATATTGTGCTCCATGACCTGTTTAACGTTCTGTTGTAATCTTTTGAACTTGTGGTTTGTACTGGATAGGCTTATGCTTGTGTATCAGTGCATCAATTCATTGTGGTTTGTACTGGATAGGCTTAGGGGGTGTTTGGTTCTTTAGTCGCTCTTAAAATTCATGTTACATCGAATGTTTAGATACTAATAAGAAGTATTAAATATAGATTAATTATAAAACCAATTATATAGATAGAGGCTAATTTCTGAGACGAATTTTTTAAGCATAATTAATCTGTCATCAGCACACGCTACTGTAGCACACGTTGTCAAATCATGGACTAATTAGGCTTAAAATATTCGTCTCGTAAAGTAATCGCAAGTTGTGCAATTAGTTTCATAATTAGTCTATATTTAATACTCCATGCATGTGTCAAACATTCGATGTGACAGGAATTTTAGAAGGTCCTGTAGGAACCAAATAGGGCCTTATTCTTGTGTATCGTGCTTCTATTCATGGAGACATGCAAATGTTATTGCTTTTACTTGGCTTGACATCGCCTTCAAGAATCACGAAATGGTTTTTGAGAGACATCACTTACATGACTTATATATGATAGTAACAATCATGGTTCTCCTATTCAAAACTCAAACGAAACTAAACTTCTATATCTTTATGTTTATTACTTGATTCCGATAGGTTAATGCTGATACTAATGCAAGTGCTAAAACCAAAATTAGGGCCTATTTAGATCCATCAACTAAACTTTAGTTGGCTAAATTTAGCTGTTAGGGATCTAAACGGCCCAGCTAAAAGGTCAGCTAAAGTTTAACTAAGTTTAGCTGCTTCAACCTAGCTAAATTCAGCTAAAGTTAGCTGAGTCTATTAGCTAGAGGATCTAAACACCCCAGCTAAAGTTTAGCTAAGAGAGCTTATAGTCGGCTAAAGTCTAGCTTTGAAATTTTAGCTAGCTAAATTTTAGTTTGGTGGATCCAAACAGGGCCTTATGTGGGTTTGACAAACGGCGTGGTTAGCGTCCGGACGTCCGAACGTTAGCCCCCGTCCCGACGCCCACGCCTGCCCTGCCTGAAATGCATGCTATTGCCGCCTGACCCGCCTGCTGCATGCGCCCGCATGCTCACAATTTTTGAGCGAGAAGTGGACACGCGTGGCCTAGTCTCCAGTGATGAATGGTCACCGAAACATGGGAGCTACAACCTGTCATTGTCGTCGGCCCAACTACAAGCACGAGATTTCCTAGTACTCCACATGCGCCTGCTACATGTGCCTGCTGCTATTGGCGTGCCTACGCATGCCATGCTGCTGCGCATGCACGCGGGGACCGCCTTCGCCTGTGCTCGTTTTCCATGCCACTTGCAACATACATCTAAAATGGGTGAAACATTTGAAACATACGCTTGCAATATATGTGTATAGCCACCGCAACATATGCAACATCCAGATAAAACACTTGCAACATACTTCTGATGCAGCTAAAATATTTGAAACATATATTTACAACATACGTGTATAACCACTGCAACATATGGAACTTTCAGATAAAACACTTACAACTTGCAACAAGAAAACAATTGCTGCAACATAAGACTAAAACAGATGAAACATTTGGAACATACTCTTGCAACAGATGTGTGAAATATATGCAACATCCAGATCAAAAACACTTGCAAACAAACGTCTAAAACAGATAAAATATTTTGAACAAACGCATGAAACATTCATCTAAAACACTTGCAATATATGCAACATGTGCAAAATTCCCTCTCTACTTTTGCACACTACTAGAAATATCCACTTCTATGACGAAAATGCTAATAACGAATCTAAAATCATCATAGAAGATCGTTTTTATGACTAATATTTTTGTTTCATCAAAGATTAGTGGTGACGATCCTGCAACCCTCCATTTCTATGACGAAATCAGGCATCGTCACAAAAAACGTCATAGAAGAACGCAGGGTTTCGTCACAGATCACTCGTGTGACTCATCTGTGACGATCTCGTTTAAACCTATGACGAATAGGGATTCGTCATTAAACTAATTACACATCTGTGACGGATAATATTTGATCTGTAACGAACGGCTTCGTCATAGATCTCCACACTGTACTTTCTCCATCCGACGTGTACCTGTGGGACCTGCAGTTACTCATCCATGACGCTTGCAATTCATCATAAAAGTCTCCGCTCGATCCTTTCTCCATGCGATGTGTACCTGTGGGACCCTTCTCCATCCGATGTTTTCTCCATGCGACGTGTACCTGTGGGACCCTTCTTAATCGGATGTGTACCTGTGGAACATGCAGTTACTCATCCGTGACGCTTGCAATTCGTCATAGAAGTCTCCGCTCGGTCCTTTCTCCATTCGACGAGTACTTGCGGGACCCTTCAGCATCCGACCTATGGGACCCGATGGCTTACGTTGCACGTGTACCTGTGGAACGGTTCTCCATCTCCATCCGACCTGTGGGACCCAACGGACCTATGGGACCCGACGGCTTGCGTGTCACATGTACCTGTGGGACCATCCGACCTTTTGGACCCGACGGCTAGTGGGACCTTTCTTCATCTCCATCTAACATGTGGGACCTAGCGGCTTGCGTGTCACTTGTTGCCATCAGAGTTTAATAAATTCAAACTAAAAAAACCATGAGACCTAGGAGTCGAACCCGGGACCCAGATCAAGGAATAGACCATCTTCACCATTGCGCTAGACGCCTGGTTGTGTTGACATGTCTTTGGAGTCCTAATAGTAGTATATGTTATCTGTGTGGATAGGTTGACTTATACATTGGATGTATCCCCACAAGTGGAAATAAATATGTGCTCGTTGGACTTGCAGTGGCGGCGGCAACGGAGGATCCCTAGTGTGCTATGGTGGCTCAGGCGTCCTTTTGGAGGCTAGGTGGCGGGTCTTCCCGGTGGAGGCGGCAGCATTGGCATCCATGTCTGTTGTGTGCCGCGACAGAGGCGACAGATCCGATCCACAGGTCTCCTTTCTCGCCTTTTCCTGCCTTCACTATTTTGGTCCTTGCTTGAACATGAGGTATACAAGAAACATTGTAGCGTTGCAGATCTGGTTAGGCCAATGCTGATGAAAAGAACTAGGAGGTGGCACTGGTTGGTTTCCTGCTAGTGTCTTGGTTTTCTACATATGTTCAGTGTTCTTACTTTTAATGCCTGTGTGCAACTAGGCCTATTAATTGTCAAGCGCTTGCTTGATTATACCTATCTGTCTAGGCAAACATACAGACCCTTCGCTTCTGCCTTAAACTATTTTTTTCTGTCATCCAGTGCTTGCTTGATTCTACATTTCTATTTCGTATGCTCCAGTGCCACCAGTGAGTCCTTATTCAAGATGGCAACGGGTACCCGAAACCCGAGTACCCGACGGGTTTTACCCGATAAGGAGGCGGGTATGGAAGACATTTTGCACCAGCGGGTACGTTATTGGACGAATTCTTGTACCCATCGGGTTTATGAGTGTGGGTGTATACTACCCATACCCGCATACCACCATAAAAAAAACGCATAAATAATATCCAACCTCTGCAATTTTAGCCCATATAAGCATATAGCCCATATTTGGCCCATATAAGCATATGAGTATATATATTCGTAAACTCCTCAAACCCTAATCCTCATCCTCACTCCACTCCACCAGCCCATATTTACATTTTTTGCTGCTCTATTGTTGATTTTTTTTTGGAAGCTATTATATTTTGTGTGTGAACTCGGGTATATTGTCGGGTAAGAATTACCCGTCAGGTGTGGTATGGAATGAATTTGCTACCCTTTGCTGGTGGTAACCCGACGGGTAAGATTTTGATCTGGTGGGTGCGGGTACGGGTGGCCAGTACCCATCGGGTACGTACCCGTTGCCATCTTGAGTCCTTATGGTATTTTGAACTTGTAACATATTTGAGGCCACATTTCTGTGCCAGTGGTGTCTACATGGTTGTTGGATGTATTAGGATGCAGCTCATATGTTTGCTTTCTGTGTCTTCTCATTGTTGACAACCAAGTTATCTATTTGGTTCTAAACAAGAGGAAGGCATCGAAAGCAAAACAATTCTTTGTGTCCATCATTCACATCACTGAGGCCAATAATGTTTAAGCTGCACATGTTGCTACTGATGCCACTTGTTCACTGACATTCTACTTGTAAAAACTAAGGAAGCTTAATTAATTGCTGAAATTGTAATGGTTACAGCTCAGTTAACTGCTACTCTAGTTTGAGTTATATATATCTATGTGGTGCTACTCTAAATTTACATGAGGTCGTACCATGAAAATTGTTAATGGTTGTTCAAGTTGCACTTTGGTATGAGTTGTGGACTTCACTGATGGATCTTTGTTGGATTATTTTCCTCTTCAGTGATCTCATTATCGAGGAAGATCTCATCGTACTGCACACTGATGAAATGGAGGAGGCCTCCAACAAGAGGAACGCATTGGCTAGCCTCATGGAGGATATCGTTCTCGAGATCCTCCGCCACCTCCCCGCCCGCTCCTTGTTCTGCTACAAATGTGTCTGTCACTCCTGGAAAAACCTCATCTCGGACCCCAACAACCATAAGAAGCTGCCCTAGACTATGGCCAGCTTCTTCTAC